AAATAGCATAGAAAAATAGAGTGAAACACGCTCTATCTATTGGTAAAAAAGAAATCTTTTTTGTACCCCGCTTCAAGGAAAAAAAGTACCTCTCTCACTACTTTTGGTATGCCCTAAGTATTATCTAAATGATGGACGATGAATTCAAATTTCACTTCGCTATCCGGTAAAAAGAATTCATCACCAGCACCTTGAATTTGCAAAATTTTCATTTTGCTATATCGATCAAAATACGCTATAGAAATAGAAATACTCTAGCAAATCTAATCACTTATTTTAAATCTTACCATATGGATCAACCATTGATGCCAATTTAGCTAAAGCAGGACTAGTCGTATAACGAGTAATATTCAGATCATAATAGTCTTTAAATGCAAATGTCCATCCGCCAAGATTCTATCAAAATCAATATATTTATTTCAAGAATTAAGTGCATACGTACGCGATAATGTGACATCATATTCTAAAAAACAAAACAAAAATGAATTGATACTTATAGCTAAACATTATCTTACACGCATTAAGTTCACTAGATCCATAACCATAGGTATTGCAGCCACTACTCGTTTGTTATCGACAGCCGCAGTCGTCCATGCTAGAATTCAACGTAACAAAGTAGTAAAAATTTTCTAAATAGACTCACTAGTCCATCCACGCTGTAGAATTAAAAATGATCAAGAAAGTTTGAAATATAAATACGATGAAAATAAAACATTTACTTTTGAAAATCCGCCGATAACAAATTCTTCTGGTGCAACCAAATTTTGCTGTTGTATGAATTGTTGAACAGTATCCATTGCTCGTACTACTGCCTATTTTTGCATGAAAGAAACAAACGATTTTAAACATAGAAGAACAGTATTTTGCTTTACTTTTTTTTGTCATTACCTTAGTCATTGGAAAACGAAGGAGCACTGTTGGATCACTACCGTTGGTTTCAAGAAACTTTTTCCATGTCCAAGCTATAAGATCGTCCTCTCTTCGAGACTTCTTCAATGGATCACTCTGCGAAAACTCATTCAGCATAATGATATGAATTAGACAAATAATAATGTGATTACTTTAAAATGAAACGGCTGATTAGGAATCTGATGAATTGTAGCTGTGATACAGTTTGCAATCAATGCAAGCTCTGTTGTGATGTCTGTAGTAGGCATTCTAAAATTGATCTATATAAATCGTTTGTTTTTATCAAGCATAAATCAAAAATAAAATTTCCTTAAGTCATTACATGATTTCTTGGTGCAAAAAGAGTTTTAAAAAAACGTACGGATTAGTATTTTCTCCATGAGCAATTAGTAAGAATGCTGTTTTAGGACGACGAATAGCTTTTGGGACCGTAATAGTCAAATAGTGCCACCAAATTGCTTGTGAAGAAAACGAATCTATAAAGAATGATTTATTCAAGGTTATGTTTATATGACTATGACTTTACCATCAAACCACCTTTGGGATGTCATATTTAATATATAGAACGTATGGGTAGATAATGAATTAGTGTGAAGACGCGTCCAACTGAACACTGGATCAGGAGTATTGACATAATCATCAAGTGGAGTGCCAAGACAATAATTCGAGGCGACAGTAAAAATACCAATAAAAATAATATTGACAATATGCATCGTTGAATTGAATGAATGATATGTGACGTCTCTTTGCTCTTTTATCAAGTCACACTATGTATCAATATCATAGGATTAAAATTTATATCATTTAAACCATTTGTTTTTCTTCTAATATTGTTATTTGCTTTTGCTTAATGCAATATTATTTGGAAATTCTATATCAAGAGATTATGTGTAGTTTAAAGACATTAATTGCCTCTTTATTTAAAATCACACGTGCACGAGCATCCACAACAGTAACCATTGAGTTTTCTAGTTTTTCATCCATTCATCGTCTGCTACTCATATTCGCACTTCCACCCCCGATATTAGAAACAATAAACTAAGCGCATAACTATAGTCATAGATAACTTTTTCTATTCACGGTTGAATAGAAGCTGCTTTTTCATTATTTTTCTAATAATATGTTTTAACTTTTGAATGGTTGGATATATTGATGGAAATATTTTCACATATATTATTTAAGTATTATTATAGTTTCCTATGGTTATTCTATAATATTGTAGATCGTCATCATAGACAGATCAAATTTGTCTATGAAAGTTAGAAAAATTAATGTAATCATCTGGAAAAGATTTTAATAAGATATTGATTATTATTTTTTGTTAATAATTGCAAATATTCCATAACTTCACATGCTTTGGCTAATTTTGGATGATTATTTGGTATTAATTTAAACTAAATATCTCAACATTTATATTAGTCATCAAGTGTTTGTTGAAATTTTCATTGCATTCTTAAAATGATACTTAAAAATTTATAATTTCTCACCGTACATAGATTATTATGTTCAAATATAGCTAAATCTGTTGAGAACATACTATAAAAATGTGAAAACAACTAATCACAATGTAAAAACTCGTTCTTAACCAGTATTTTATCATTTATCTTATGCAAAATATTAAATTTAGAATACTCCTAATGTAAATTAACATTGATAGATAGTTTAGTAGCCGTATTCCAAAAGAATTCAGTTAAATTGCTATCACCTTTAATTTCAGCAAGAATTCCTAATCTCTTATAGATTAATTTATGGTTTCGATTATTTTCTTCTTGCACAATCTTAAGTATCGTTTATAATGTTCTTCAGCTATATCAATTAATCTCATTTTCATTTAAATATCTTCAATCGATATACCATTGGTGTTCTCGAATAATAATGGTATTGATTTTACAGCAGCAAAAAAACGATTGTTTTTCATTTAACGATCCGCGTTTCGATAAATTTATTATCATTTACAAGATATAATCTACAATGAAACACAAAAATATATTAGTATGATATAATGACATAATAAGAAAAATAATAATGGGGATTAGGAGATGAAGGAGAAAGAACTATGAGCTATGTATATTTGGAGTTTAGAGATGATAGGGGATTGTATAAATAGTATTAGAAGTAGAAATCCTAAAGACGAAAGGACATTAGAACGAAGAAGAAAGATAAAGGTATGACGACAATTAGAGTAAGCTATAAGACAAGAGACAAATATGGAATTTTTAATTAATGTCGCTTTTTGTTTTGCTCCAGTTCTTTTTGCATGTTGTTCTGTTTCCTTGGAAAATCTTCAGGATATATCAGAAGTGAGACTGAACGTGTTGTCACATTCAGTGATGGTTGACATTCAGCTGTAGCTAGGGATTCCCTTACACATAGTCTGTATGAATGCATATCCCTGATGAGTATAGACCGATTCTTCCAATCTATCGTATGATTTGTAGGGGTGTGTGGGTGTGAGTGTGGGGCGTGGGTCTGGTTATTCGTTTAAATGAGACCCCGACATCATATCCACACCAACACTAACATCCTGTAGCTTTCGAACTAATCGAAGCTTAGATGTCGACATCTCTTCGAGATTAGATCTTATTAAAGAGTATAGCATCAACTTGCTTCAGAGCCTACAGTAATCTACTGAAATAACATCGTCGAGATCTAGCAGTCACGATGTCTGCAGAATTCGTTGGAGATTGCTAAAATCAATATCAATAGTAGCATGACAACAACAAATAAAAAATAACTATGAAGCTACTATCACATGTAGACAATCAGAAATTGCATCATGAATAGTAGAAATTTTGTGAACAATGGTAAAATGGAATACTTATACCTATATAGGCATATATGCGCGAAAATCGAGTACGTTAGCGTTACAACAGCAACAAAATGCAACGAAATATTTCTTAGATACATGGACTTTGCTCTTCATACTAAATCTGACTTTTTCTTCTTCCTTCTTCAAATATCACGCGTTTCAAGATAAATATAAAACTAAATGGAATACGAATAAAGAATCGAATGTATTACATGTTGGTTGAAAATTTTATCGTTTATGATGTCTATAGTGTAATAGTTGCTAGTGCTTTTTCATAAAATAATTATTAGTGTCATGTGTCTGATACAACGGTATCTAAGGACATGTTTTGATAAGCAATAAATATACCAAAGAAAAAACGTTGGGAGCAATGAAGTGTTGGACTATTCCAAAGCTTATCAATGAGTCACAAAATGCACAGAAATATATATGCAAAGCAACCACATTCTTTATGGTATATCATTTCAATAATTCTGCTCGCACTACCAAAGTCTTCATCAATACTTTTTGCCGAAGACTTCAACTACAGTAAGTGAATCATTAATACAACATCTAGTTCAGAAACTGAATGCCTTACTACTTACATGACCGCTTGTCGTCTTAAACCTAAATAAGTGAAAGTGACGTAGAGTAAAAGAGGATTGTGAAATTTTTGTATTCATGCTTTACATCATACATGCAGATCGAATAAATATAGGATATTAGCGAAATGTTTTAGCAGTAATAATATTCATTTTATTCAAGAGCTAAGACACGGAAATCATGTTAAACTATGATTCTTAAGATTTGAAATTGAAGGAAGAAAACTTTCCGATCACTCGATAATTGCTTTACTACTGTTAAGTTAACTATCCCAGTTCTCGTAGTAGAAATTATATACGTCTGCAATTTTTTCGAGTGCTTGACAAAATTTCTTTTTTGTTTTTAAAGTAATGGATTCTTTCACGATTCGTGGAACGTCAACTATACTAAATCAACGTCAAACTACACCTGCTGCACGACGAATTCGCTCAAACACTACACAACGTCTAAGTTCTCCAAAAGTACCAAGATATAGAGCCAGTCAAAATACCAAAAACAACAACATCCGAAAAGACCCTATCTTCGAAACTATCACTTGAAAAAGTGATGACTTTTTCAGTATTAAGAGAGCTTTTAGGAGTATGGAAAGATCCTGATTCCTTCGCACAAGTTGATGAGGCTAAGGAAAAAATCACGGATTGCTTTATTCAAAGCTTAGATACCTTGGATTTATCGTTTCTCGGCTTGACCACCCTTCCTGATGTTTTCGGTGGAATGCAATATATACATTATTTGTCGATCGCTGACAATTATTTTTCCAAAATACCATTGTGTCTAACTAAGTTAACTTCACTAAAAGGACTGAACATCTCCAATAACATATTAAAGGAAGTACCCGATTTAATTAAAGAATTCAAATACTTAAAATACTTTAATAGTGAATGTAATCAACTTGAAAAGGTTTCAGAAGAACTGGGACGTTTGCCAAGACTAAAAACGCTAATGTTGGCTCATAATCGTATTATGAATATGCCTCAAAATATTCATCATATTAAAGATTTGAAGATAGAAGACCAAGTTCCACTAGCATCTTTTGGTGACTTTTCTCCTGAGTTTGCAGCACGATGGGAAGAAAATTTTTGTAAGGAAGAATATTCAGGTTATTTTGAAATTTGGTTGGCACGCTATGAAGAAATACTACGATTGCCAGAAGCCAAAAATTACCATCAAGTATTTAAGCAACGTATAGGTGCGTTGATGGAAGCAATGGTGAACGATTCAGATTTCCGTAAACTCTGTTATGAAAAAGCATGTAATGTCGTTTCAACGTCTCATAACGGAATATTATTTGCTTTGTACGAATTGGAAGCCAAACTTATTGAACAGCGCATGATTGAACTAAAATTATCTGATGAAGGAGTTCGTCAAGATGTCAAGCGAGCCTTTAATTTTTACCGCTTGCAAGAGCTCGCTCAATTACACGGACAACAGTTTTCCCTCCAAAACGATGCAAATCCAGATGAAGAAGTAATCAATGGGCAAGAATCAGCCTTGTTTTTTTACGTCTCTCCAGAAAATACTCTGGAAATGCCATCCGGCAAGGAAATACCACGTCTTATGTATCAACCAGATTTGGGTATAGCAAATGATGACAACGTAAGAAGAGCAGTCGAAAAAATTCAACAGGAAAAGAAAGAACATGGTCCAAATTATTTGATTCCCTTTATTTTGGATAAAGAGTTTTGGATTGAATATTTATCACGGCGTTATTTAGATTTCATAAGGGAACACACACAAGTTTTTGTGGATCAGATGGAAGAAATAGAAGCAAAAAAGGATCAAGTTAAGGAATATGATTATCTCACACGGATGAATGCATTGCTTGAAGAAAAGAACGAATCGGAACAAAGATTGTATTACCAATTGACTAAAAATATTGTGATAGATTCATAGAGATTGCAAAGCCATAGATACAAACGCAGATCGATATATCTCTTTATGGAAAAGATAGATTCGATTGATCAATCTCAAATTTTACTTTTCAAAAATAGACTTAGTCAAAACTAAGTAAAATCATAGATAAATATGTATTTTTTGATTTTCTGTTTACCTTAAATAAAACAAAAACTAGCACGTATGAGAAGTTCGAAGTCACATCACAAAAATTCGAAACAGAAGTTATTTTTTTTATATGAATAATAGACGAAAGAAGGAGCAAGTGAATGAAACAACTTATTTGTATGAAGATGAATAATGAAAACATGTTAATCATAATTTGGTTTTTATTTGAAGACAATGATGATACTGATGATTCCAATAAAATATACAAGACTATGTATGAGTCAATATTTATGCGTTTTAGAAGATTTATTCTACATTCGCGGAATAAATTTATAACAGAATATTATCATGTGAATTATAATACATAGAATATTTGACAGCTTATCATAACTAATTGATTTCTCGCTATCTCTTTTTATAATCGTCTCAGTTTATTACACAAGCTGCGTGCCAGAAAACGCATGTCAGTCACAAGATGTTCTTTTATAAACCCATTGGGCGAATT